ACCCGAGCTCGAATCAACTCACTCGGGTACTGCCTTGAGAAAACCCAAAGGTCGAAGTTCACCTGAGTTCGAATACATTCACTCGGAGACTATTTCGAAAAATATAAAGGACTACCATCGTTCCAAAAAGATAAAAGGCAAAGTAATAACAAGATTGAAAAAGGAGCAATAGATGGCAAAGGGCAGTGTTTCATAAAAAAGCTCGCTACCGGAGCAATTACATAAGAGGGGAAAACAAACAAAGCCTAGCCTATTCCCGGAGTCAATCGGAGCCATCCTCGAATTCTTCGGGGAACGTCGCCCTTCTCGAAGCGTCCTCAGCTTCGGCGGCTTTGGTGACGTCCGATGCAAGATCGAAACCGCGACGTTGGAGTTCGGTAAGAACTTCAAGCCGGGCCTGACACTTCGCATATTCGGCTAACATTCTTGACTGCTGGTTGGCCGCATCAGCATCGGCCCTATATTGGGCCACCATATCGTTGGCAGTCTCCTCGGCTTGGGAAACTTTAGCCTCAGCTTCCCGAAATCGATTGGTCCATAGCTCAATTTCAAGGACTCGAGCCTCATTGGCCAACGTCAAGTCCGCAACCTCTTCCCGAAGGGAAGTCTTCTCCGACTCCAACTGTTGCACCCGGGCTTCCAGTTCGGCTTTGTTCTCATCAAGTTCGGCTCTGCTCTCGTCAAGCTCGGCCTTAACCCGATTAAGCTCGGCTTGCACCCCCCTTAGCTTAGAACCAAGCTCTTTCTTTGCTTCCTCCAGCCGGATAGCACAGGACGCGTGCTCTTTATTCAAAAGGTCCAATCCGGTCCGGCTTTCTAACAGCTTCTCTTCAAGGACCCGGCGCCCCTCTCGCTCCGCCTCCATTTTGTCCTTGATCCGGAGGAACATCGAGTGATATAGCACCGATGCCTGCAAAGAAAAAGTCTAAAGAGTCAGTACTGAGTCACAAGGCAAAAATATTAGAAATAAAGGAAGAAGCAAATACCTTGAGCTGCGCCTGCTGGGCTTCGTTGAAAAGGCACGTCCAATCTACACCCTCGGTTGCAGCCCGGTCTTCCTCCGTCATCAGGTGATGAAGATAGCTTGCGACCCCGACCGGGGGCCCCAGAGCCCGGACGTCTTTGGGGATAGCAAAAGTTACTATCCTGTTACAGTCCGGGTCCAGGCTCGGAGCTGGAAACCTATCAACAAGCTTGTTGACGGCCGAAGTCCCACTTGATTCGGCCTGAGGGTCTTTCCGGGGGATTTCGAGCCCGAAAGTGTTGGCGGAGGGTACCCCATCAAAAAAGGTCTCGAAGCTACCTCCCATCATCGGGATGTCGTCCGGCAGCTGCCCCCAAGTCGAGGAAGATGGGGGGGACGTAACCGGGTGATCGGTACCCGGGGACGCCCGCGCAGGGGCCGAGGGTTCACTAGCATCCTCAACCCTCACGTCCTCGGGAGGAGCCTCAACTGGATCGACCACCGGCTCAGGGTCCGGTCGAATGGATCGATGGCGGACGAGCTCCGGCTGCTCCTCATCGTCATCCTCTTTGTCATCCTCTTCCTCGGAGGACAAGACGATTTGGCTTTTTGGTTTGCGGGCGGCCCTTTTTGTCCGCTTAGTCTTCCTTTGAGGCTCGTCCGTACCGGACTCCCCGGGCCTTTTATTTTCTCCCGGAACCGGAAGGGGGCATAGTATTGAAGACCTCATCTCCGCGTCCTTGGGCAAGCCTGCAAAACACGAGGGTTATGATGCATTCCCGATATACAAGAAAAAATGCGTTAACTTGGTGCGCTACCGGTCAAAAAGAAGGCTTACCATGGTTTTTCGCCTCCCACCGACCTTTGGAGATTTCCTTCCAGTTTCGCTCCGAATATGGCCGCTGGGCCACTATCTTGTTTACCCAGCCGGCCAGATCCTTGACGGCAGCTGGAGTTTGGGTCACCGCTGCACAAGAAAAGGGGGTTTCAGGAAGAAGTTGAGGAAAACACACTCTAAAAGATGAACAGTGAGAAAATACTTACGTTTGAGGTTCCACCTCTCCGGAAATGGCATGCAATCAGCCGGAATCAGGTCGGACGTCCTGATCCGGACAAACCTGCTCATCCAGCCTCGATCTTTGTCTTCATCGATGCTGGAGAATGGGGGTTTGCTAGCCCGGCGGGCCAGTTTTATTAATCCCCCTCGAAATATTCGAGGGCTGTATAATCGAAGAAGATGGTCAAGGGTAAAGGGAAAATCGCCCTCGACTCTCTCGACAAAAAACCGAAAGAGATATACGATCCGCCACATCGAGGGGTGGATCTGACCTAAGGTCACCTCGTACCGCCGGCAGAACTCCACTATAATGGGTTCTAAGGGGCCTAAGGTGAAGGGATATGTATATACACTAAGATATCCTTCAACGTGAGTCATAATCGACTCGTCACGGGAAGGGGCGACCAGGTCTTTCCCTTCCCATCTACATTCAGCCCATCTAGGCAACCGGGAGTGATTAGGCTGATATACTCCGATGCCGGTTCGCCGCGGCCCGGGACCGATGATGGGTTTTCAACCTGGAAGTCGGCAGATACCGAGCAACCAGTCGGTGTGAAAGCTTTCAATGGGGGTTCTGGCGCAGGTTCATCAGATCTAGCGGGGCTCGCGGCCGAGCTTGGTCTAGAAGGAACACTTTGTGAAGTTTTCGCCATTTCTTGAAGCTTTACGAAGAGATGAAAAGAAAATACAACCAACGCAAAATTTGAGAAAGATAAGAAATGTTGAACCTGGAAGGGTCGTTTATACTTTTCCCATGAGGCGGTGGCACGAATCGCGAAGTTACAGACACGAAGCGACAGATAATTAAGAGAAGCATTAAATGCCTGCAGCAGACGTGGTCAGAGCACTCGATGGCTTTTTCACCTGGCGTATGGCCATACGTCACGGGCATCACGTCACCGATCATATCGTTTATTATCATTACTCTCTAATAAACGAGGGGACTATCTGTATTGGGTGATACCCTTTTTTGCTTGAGCCCGACCGGGTTGGGTCCGGTCCGGGGCAAGTCGGGGCCATCGAACCCGACCTGGATGCAAGGTAGAACGACGGCCACGTCTACAACCGAGGTCGAGTCATTTCGAGACCGTTGCAGAGCTCGATATGAGTCACCACCGGATGGAGAAACACACAAGGTCGGAAGCCGGACTCGTAACGGATAACCAAGCGTCGCCGGATATCTCGCCCAAACGTGATTTTCTCAACCACTTCAGGCCATTAAGGCGTAATTACAGGGATCCACGATGTAATTAATTTACCTACCTTATTTTTACCCTTAATCAGAATGTATAAAAGGGGAGAAGACCCCATAAAGAGGGGATTGGAAACCATTACACTACAGTACCCTCTCTCTCAATTCTTGTACGCTATCAAGCACAATTGTTCTAAGCAATATTATATTCTGCGATTATTTATTTTAACAGCAATTGTTGAGTCTTTATCTTTTATTTTCCTCAACCTAAACCTTTTGTATCTTTTAGTTCACGGATCCTTAAAACCCCATATAAATTCAATTGTTATCCGGATTCTAGGGTAAACAACTATAAAGCTCAATACTCGAGTTAAGTTGGGCTTCTACAACATAAAATACAATCAAAAGGCGATAAAAATGCAGAATAAATAATATCAAAACATATAAAATTATGCCCAACATCATTACCAGGATACGATCTGAGGCACCAAAGTCAAGCGTTGATAGTCCAAGTGATCCATAGTCCGAAAGATTAAGATTGTGTTAGACAAGCGAACATTACACGTTAGACGATGCTAGCAACAGATGAGGATAATACCAAAGAGAGTCATTAATCATGATGGAGATGTTTGTTGCTTCGTGGAGGCTTACCATGAAGAACCAACCAAACCACCCTTTTTCTTTTTCTTTTTCTTTTTTGGGAAAAAGGTAAGAGTTGTACTAAAAACCCAGAACAAAGATTGTGCTGGTAACCATTAAGAGATTCTTAAGAAGTAATCAAAAACATATTCTTGTTCTTCTTACATTCTATAATATCTAGAATGGATTCTTCATCACTTACATAATTTTCTTTACACCAAAATTGAAGCAGCAGAATGCAATTCATCTTTTTCTTCTGAACAGAGCTGTTTCTGTCTTCAAAACACCTGGCGTTCTTTTCCTTCCAGGAAATCCACCATATCACATAGGTGCAATGCTTTCCTTTGTTTGTTACTGACTGTCTGCATGGCCATAACAAACATTCCCAACGCGATTATCTCATGTGCAATTGAGGAGATGGGCAAAAGTCTAGCAAACATGTCTTTCCTAATAGGTCCTTTTGTGTGTAACAATTTTGGAAACAAACTAAGATCCAATTGTAATCCGACCAATGCCATTATCATAATAAAAACTGTCCCTCTGTTGTTGGGCGCTCAAAAGGAAGTTGATTTCTTCTTTTAGAGTTTTGACCTGACCCAAAGAGCATGCCATGTATTGGTGCTGGCTAAAGGAGAACCACGCTAGTTACTTGCACAAAATCCGTTGGATGTCCCTGTTGTATAATGCTCTAAGCTTTGGCCCAGACTTTGCAACCGGTTCTGCAGGATCGGGAAAAGGTTGATCAGCTCAAGGTCAAGGAAATTCCATAAAAGAATGCACAGTTGTGCATCTTCTTTAATCCATGCTCCTCAATCAAATATCTGAGAACTTTTGGCTCGATGGTCCTAGTATACTTAATCCACGAACCATAATTGCACTGATACCACCCAAGAGACATGATTCTCGCTACCTGGAAGTTAACATTAGTAAATAGTAGACAAGGGAATGGAGGGAAAAGAGGTGCTCCAATAATTGAATTTTCCTACCTTTTTCCCTTCTCATTCTTTTTTCTTTTGTTAATGATAAGAAAGCATACAAAAGAAACAGAAAAGAAAGCAGATAACTTTTTTCTGGACCAAAAAGATAGCAGATAACTTTTTTCTGGGACTTACAACTTGCGCTCTTCAGAGAAGACTCTAAAGCAATCAAAAGTAGAATTGAGAACAACAAGAATCAAAATGAAACTGCAGGAATTGAAAGAAAAATAAGAGAGTGAAAGAGAAAGTAGGGGATCAAAACCAATACCAAGGACGCCGGAAACTCTTGAGATCTGAGCGCAAGGAATAAGCTAAGGATGGTTCAGGAAGTTCAGTTAATCTTGAAGAAGTATATGTCGACGAGAAGAGATAATCAGAGATGACATCACACATGAACACATGGCACGGCGATGACAAGGAGAGGAGGCGTGTGTGAATCGTTGACAATGGGCTTTGGGTGGTAGTGAGCTAGTGTCACTACGACTGAGAATGCTGTCCTCTGCAGTGACAAGCTGAACGGTCCTAGGTTAATTATGAGTTGCACCTTTTCCTTTAAATTTCCTTCTTCATAAAGCAGAAAAAGAGTGAAAAGTAAGCCAAACTAACACACTACGAACAAAATGAGAACATGGGGAAAAGAAGTACCTTCACTGCCACTGTGTCGAAAACTGAACCAGCAAACCAACCGTAAAGGCTGCATTTTCACCTTCACCAGTCATACAGAAATCCTAGGCAATCCCCGGTGCCTCACCTCTTTGTCAGCCTGGTGCAGCTATGCTGGATCTGATGTCTTTCGTTCTTCTAATCTTGAGTTGTTATTACAGGAAAGTTCCAGCCTTTCGAGAGAAAGCGGTGACGATCAGTCCTAAAGTGATCCTCAGGCTTTCAGCAATGAGAAACCAGAAACTCCTCAATCAAAACCTTGCCAGCTTTTGAAGAGAAAATTGTGGTGTTAATGGCTGGGACTTTAACCAACTTTCTTGGCCACACATGTCAAGCACAATTTAACTTTTTGGTTATACAAGTGGGGAATAAATTTGAGAAGATTCAATCAAATACACAAATAGCCAGGCGATCTCATACACAATAAGAGTTGGTTCTAGGGACGAAGTGGCTTAGTTGAACATAGTGAGACTAAGGAACGAACGGTCAAACCCAGAAATGTGCAAGTGCGACCCAGCAAAAGAAGTTCTCCGCGCGAAAGAGTGGAAAAGGAGAATGAAGATTCAGCTGTTGAGAATCCAGGACAAGTTACAATGTAGGGGTATGGCTTCCGAGGTCAGATAAGAATGGGTCAACTCACATGGTACAAAATGTCCTGAGGAAAGCTAGAGACTGACAAGAGAATGGAGAACAGATAGCTGGCAAGCTAAAATGACGTATCTGGGTTGTAAAATGGAGAAGTTCCCAACAGTTTATTTAGGGTTTCCCTTGGGGATGAAGAGGTATGATCATACTATTTGGCAAGGGGTCCTGGACAGGTGTGCTAAAAAGTTAATTCCATGGAAGAAATAATACTTATTTTTTGGGGGTACACTTACACTAATAAATAGTGTGTTAGATGAAATGCCAACTTATTTGATGTCTTTATTCCCAATGCCTGCAACAGTGGAGAAAAGAATGAATTCCATGAGGAATCAATTCTTATGGGATGGAAATAACACTAAGAGGAGGAATACATTTAATTAAATGGCGGGTGGTAATGAATTATAAGAAAGGTGGAGATCTTGGTGTAAGAAACTTGAAATTGCATAAAAAGTGCATGCTCTTCAAATGGCTATGGAGATACATGCTGGAAGGGAAGTCTGGGAAAATTTGATAAACGCTATTTATGACACCAAGAGAGAGTGGAGATCTTCCTCTTTGCATACAAATGCAAGAGGGGAGTATTTGGAAATGCATTAGCAGACTAAGGGAAGAATTCCTAGGTTACACTAAACTGGAAGTGGGGAATGGACAGAGAATTAAATTCTGGACAGATTGAAGGATAGGAGATGAGTGTCTGAAAGATAAATATCCTAGTCTTTTCAATTACTCTGTTAACAAGGCTGGAAACATTACTGATTTTTACTCAGATACAGGGCGGCAGGTAGTATTCAGAATTAATTTGGATGATTGGGAAGCTGAAGATTTCTGTCACTTGCACCAACAACTAGAAGTTGTTTTTATTGATCAAAGCAAGGTGGTTCATTGATCTGGGCTGCTGCTAGAGAGGGTAAAACTTTTTCAGTAAAAAGTTGTTACAAAATGATGATAGAGAAGTCAAGATATAGGGTTACCAATTGGCCTTGGAAAATGATTTGGAAGACCAGAGCACCAGTGAAGGTAGCATGCTTTGGATGGTCAGCGACGTGGGAGGTTTGTTTGACTCAAGACAACTTGCAGAAAAGAGGCTTCAGTCTATGTAATAGATGTTATCTGTGTGAAGAAGAACAGGAAACAGTGAACCATCTTCTCCTCCTGATTATCCAGACAGTGTTGGGATATATTCTTAAGCATTTGTGGCGTTTCTTGGGTGATGCCTCAAACTGTAAGGGGTTTACTAGAAAATTGGCAATCTCAGAAAATACCATGAAGACTAAAGCAGATCTGGAGAACCTTTCCATTGTTGCATCATATGGACATTATGGCTGGAGAGGAACAAAGCTTGTTTTGAAGGGCATCAAAATCACATTATTAGAATTAAGAAATAAAGTCTTCATAATCTGTATTATTGGTGAAAATGCATCCCCTTAAGAAATCTGGATCAGTATATAGAATTTCTGGACATGCTAGGAGGGATAGGATAGAAGGTGGATGATGTTGTTTGGGATGTTTTTTGTATCCTTTTGTACCATCTTGACACCTTTTTAATAAACTTTTACCGTATCCAAAACAAATGACGTATCTTAAGTAATACAAGTTTATTCCCATAGAACTAGAGCAACGGTTATCATACAGATGTCGCACGTTTCATAAATCATACAAAGTAATTTACTGCAAAATATTTTGCAGTTAGGCAGGAGTATATTAAAAATTGAATTTTAAAAACTTTTTTAAACACATTACTATGGTTCATTCAAAACAGAAAATCCCAAAATCGCTAGACTGACAGAAAGAATAGCTATAGACTAAAACCGTACCTCCATCGGCTGATGTATTCTGAATCCTGGTTTGAGTTATCAGGTAGTCTTCCATCAAAGTGAATAAATGCAGACTAAATCTGTCAGTATATTTCAAGTCACAACTAAAATAAACCAAAAGGTCCAGCGACTATGATGTTATACTAACATGAAGAGCAGCATCCCATTGCCATGATACTTTGCAGGGATTAAGGTTGCTTCAACGTTGGCAATATCTGAGAAGAATAATATGCCACAGTCATACACAACAGACACGCATAGAATTGGGAAGTATATCCTACAACATGATAAATACAAGCTCCGCACTTTAGACTAATGAACAGGAAAAAGGTCACCATATAGCATTACCCAAAAATAGTTCATCCCTCCCCTGTAAGGGCTAACCATACCAGCACATAACAAACCTGCACTATAACAGATTCCTGTGGTCACAAAAAGAAGATATACTTCGCAGTTCCTCAATCCAATGGCACTTAGCAGCTGAACCAATATGGAAACATTCTTGTGCACAAACAAATGCAAATAAGGCAGAAGGTACAGGAGGATCCAAAACAGAATTCTTTTTTTTTTTTTGTCTCTTTTAAATGCATTACTATGGTCCACTCAAAACAGAACATCCCCAAAATCGCAAGACTGACAGAAAGAATAACTAAAACCATACCTCCATAGGCTGATGTATTCTGAATCCTGGTTTGAGTTATCAGGTAGTCTTCCATCAAAGTGAATAAATGCAGACTAAATCTGCCATTATATTTCAAGTCACAACTAAAAGAAACCAAAAGGTCCAGCGACTATGATGTTATACTAACATGAAGAGCAGCATCCCATTGCCATTATACTTTGCGGAGATTAAGGTTGCTTTAACGTTGGCAATATCTGAGAAGAATAATATGCTAGTGTCATACGCACAGACACGCATAGAATTGGGATGTACATTCTACAAAATGATAATAAGCTCAGCACGTTAGACTAATGAAATGCAGGAAAAAGGTCACCATATAGCATTCCCCAAAAATAGTTCATCCCTCCCCTGTAAGGGCTAACCATACCAGCACATAACAAACCTGAACTATAACACATTCCTGCATCACACAAAGACCAATATAGTCACCACGATATCAGTTACATATAATGATAGAAATTTGAACGTTTTGCGGAAAAAAACACAAAAAACAGAGCACGCAAACATTAATTTACGCATTATTATAACTGGAGTAGAGGATGGGATGACTTGTAAAAAGTGATCTTATTGAAAAATCAAAATCTATGTACAAAGACGTTGTTCTCTGACCTGTATTGCTAAACCAAATACAGTGTTTCTACATACTATGACTACGGTACTGGCTTGACCATTGTACAAAAAGATTTTTACAGTCAAAGTCATCAACTTATAGGTACAAAACCCTTCCTTCCTCTAAGGGTTCACTCAAAAATGTAGTGGTACACAGGTATCCCAAAGAATATGCAGCCCTACTTAAGGACTGCACAGTCACACAACCCACATGTAACTGGTGGTCGTATCTGGACAACAAGGTTTCTCCGGTGAATGGTAATGAACAGGAATATACAGCAAAAGAAGCTTCAAACCATCATATTCAAGTCTGACAGATCATCCATGGGAATCTCAAGGCCCATGAAGTCGTCATCTTGTAATCCATCATCATCGATGTTCAACCATGAGCCTATGTCCTGTCCCTGACCACCAAGATCGTCAGGGACACCTAAAACATCCATTTCTGGGAGTTGCAGGCCGGATAAGTCAATGGGATCCTCTAGTTCATCCAAGTTACAATCAGTCTTATCATTTCCAGTGGCACTTATACCACTTGATCTTGCTATTGAAGATCCTAGCAATTTAGGTTGCTCCGATATCTTGCCAAAAAGGCCATTGACAGAGGTGGATAACTGAGTAGTTTTCTGCTTAGGTTTTGTCTTAGGCTTTCTTTCTCCTTTAACATTGGAAGAGGCAGGTCGACCAATTTTGGCTGTTCCATTGCGGGATAATGCCTCTCGGCCATTTCCTTTTCCTTCTCGGTCTCTCTCACTTCTCTTCCCTTTTGCACTGCTTAAAAGTGAACTACCTATGCCTGAAGAAGCACCAATGGTAGTACCAAGAACATCTTCCAACTCCCTCCGCTTGACCCTACTGGCTTCAGAAGGTAAATTGGCTTCAAAAGATATATCCTGGTTTAGCGATGGGCTCTGCTGTGCGCCCAAAGCTGCAGAAGAGATATAATAAAAATTTAAGCGTGTTATACTCAATTAACATGCCATGCTTCATAATTCTACACTTGCTCCCCACATTCACGTAGATAGAAGAGGAAAAAAAGAATACCTGAAACTCTAGCTTCTCCTGAACAGCCAGATGTGCTGATATAAGATTTTCCAGCTTCGCCATCAGTGTTCGAATCTGTTTGTCCATCACTAAGGCGGGATATCCCAGAAAGAAACATATCCTTATACAAAGGCTCACTGAAGCAGCTCTTTCTTGTCTGCTCAAATTCTTGGCATCGATCCAAAGTCCGCTTGACAAAAGCTAAGGCAGCTTGCTTGGCCAGTTTCCCGCTAGCACTCTTCATCCCATGAGCATTTGGACCCCAACAACTCTGTCGAGGCAAAATTATTTCAATTCAACAACTTCAAGATTCAAATTACAAGATTTAAGAAGACAATTTCATGTTTCACACAGTTCTGAAGTGCATTACAGCAATCTAAACAATAATAGATATTTCTATGATACTACTAGCGGCAAAGTTAGTTGATGTATACATAACTATTTGAAGAACAAGAAAGAAGGAAATACAAAGTATACACAGAAAGGCAATGAAAACTGTGGTGGGTTCTTCTTACGCAAAGACACAGAACAAGTACATCAGCAGAATATCAACTTGTGTCACAATAATAATACATGTGGAGCACAGGAAGTAACATACAAGAACTAAAACTATAACTTAAACTTCCTGTTTTGGTTTTGGGGATCAAAACTAGATGAACAACATGGCATCAGTTTTTGTTTAAACAGAATTTGAAAAGTAAAGAGGCAAGTTTAATAGAAGTCCTGCATGAACAGTAAGGAACAAAATTTACTTCTAAAGCAAAGTAAAAATTTGCAACTGATACAAGTTAGCATAAAACTCAAGTTGTATAAATAAATTACTGAACCAACCATTACTTAGCTTCAAGCTCCTTTACCCGGAAAAACAAGAAAAAGAAAAAAAATCCACCAAATAGAAAATGTATCTTGGTCATATGAATTTGACCATATTCACATGAAGAAGTCTTGATTCATCATTCAGTAATACGAAACAGAAGTTCTCACCATAAACATAATGCATTATCTCTGAAATCCGGTCCCTCGAGTAGAAAAGCAGTTAACTACAGTTGATCCCTTTTTTCCAGGGATGTAAATCTAAATTTAAGAACAGAAAGTGCTTAAAAGCTTCAAATTACCATATATTTTTCGTATGCCATTGCAACCAGTTTATCAAGAGCACGCTGTTCAAACTCCCTGTATGATAAATAAGTTTAGTTGTTACCAAAATGAATAGTACTAAGCAAAGACGAAGGTTAGGCATCTGAAAGAAGCATAAATTTATGTACTTCTCTTGTAACTCTCTCATCTGTGTAGCTGAATCCAGCAGTTTCCCGAGCATCCTCTTCTTCTTAGAAACCTACAGAATAGGCAATCCATGAGTAAGGCTCCCAATACAGAAACCAATTGCTTGGAAGTTTCAGAACAATAAAGGAGACTAAGCCCCTATTTGTCCTTATTAAGATTAAGATGTTTGATTCTGAACACGTCTTATTAAGATGTTTGATTCTGAACACGTCTTACTATTAGGATGTTGTCTCTAGATCAGTATTTCTAAAGACTAGTAAATCTAAAATCTAAATAAAGTAATAATTAAATATTACATCCATAAGATATTGATTTTAATTTACAAGGTGTTGCAAAAACTGATTGTTTAATGGAGCACACTCTACCAGCGAGAGCCAGTGGCAGCTAGTGGTGGTTGTGCGTTCGTGGCTAGAGGTGATGGTTGTGCGGTGGGGTAGAGGTAGTTGGTGGTGGTGGCGCGGTTGAGGTTGGTGGTGGTCGGCCCAGCAGTCAGTGGAGGGGTTGGTTGGTGGTGTGGCTGGTTGTTGGTGGTTGGTGGCATTGGTTGGTGGTGTTGGTTAGTGGTGGAGCCGTGGAGGTGGTGTTGGATGACGGCGAAGGTGGTGTTCGCGATGGTGGTGGTGCGGTTGAGGTTGGTGGTGAGGTGGTCGCTGCAGCAATGTCAGTGGAGGGGGTGGTTGGTGGTGCAGCTGGTTGTTGGTGGAGTTGGTTGGTGGTGTTGGTTAGTGGTGGAGGTGGTGGTGGATGGCGGCAAAGGTGGTTGGTTGCAGTGGTGGCTGGCGGTTGAAGTGGTTATGGTGGTGGCTGGCAGTAGAAGTGTCGGTTGTGATGGCTGGGAATGAAGGTAGGTGGTGGTGGTGGTGTCTAGCAGTCGAGATAGTTGGTGTGGAGGTGGTTGGTGGCGGAGACGGTGGCTGCTTCATGGTGGTGGTTCACTGTCGAGGTGGTTGACAGTGGTAGTTATGCAGTGGCGGCAGGTGATGATGGTTGTATGATGGTGGTTGGCAATGGTGTTGGGCAGTAGAAATTGGTGGTGGATGGTAGTGGACAGCGTAGTGATAAAAAGTAACCTTCACCTGAATTGAACATCTATAATAGATTTGAATGAGGTCAGACATGTTAAGAGCAAATAAATGGTTGTAAAAGGAGAAAAAAACAATATTCACTAAATGAGGTTAAGATCTGAATGACTCAGGTCCAGACTTCCATTGAGTGAAAACAAACAGGCCCATATCATTATATCTTATTCCAACAAGTAGGTTATAGCACCAGCGTAGAGATAGACTTCAGAATGCTGATAGTCACAGATATTCTGTGAAGCTTAACTGCAGACACCCAAATGTGTCGTGAAAAATATAGATATGGACAACCAGGGATACAACAACAACATACCCAGTAAAATCCCACTAGTGGGGTCTGGGGAGAGTAGAGTGTACGCAGACCTTACCCCTACCCCGAAAGGGTAGAGAGGCTGTTTCCGGGAGACTCTCGGCTCAACCAGGGATAAAAAATCTAATTGAGCTTCACGATTATAACATCCGACCTCATAAGAGGAAGCATCCAATCCCTCCTCATTAAGGATGGAAGAATGTGTGGACTTGAAAAGCTGACTCATTCTCAGACCATCACCAGTTGACTCGAATTAAAGGGAGTAACAAGAAATGTCGGGTAAACAAGGACGGGCAGAGGAAGGGAGATTCTTCTAAGATGTATGACTTCAGAAAAAGGATAAAACTTACCATTTCATGGTGTTTCTCATGTAATTTACTAATTTCTGCACTGATCTCTTCATTTCCAGTCTCAGCAAAATCAGACTACATGGAGAATAAGCAATCAGCAAAACAAGGATTAGTAAACTCTGAGAAGATATAGCTCAAAGTACAACACTATGCAACATGCTGAAATTCCAACAACCTACCTCCAGGTCTGGATATATTCCGATACAGCGAATCTCCATGAGAAGCCGCTCATCAATGGACATCTCATTGTACTGATACTCGGAACAAACAAAGCCAGGCATTGTTTGTTGTTCTGAAAGTAGACCATTTTGTGACTGATCATAGCTTGAAAAATTCCCCCTTTCGAACGCGGATGTAACATTATCGGACTTAATGTAGTCCAAATTATCAACAGAACACCCATTGGCATTTATGCTGTATCCATTAGAAGCACAGTATCGGGATGTTTCACTGCTATATAACATCTGCCCACAGGAAGTATGAGATTCTGAATCCATCTCGATTTCAAATCCAGATCGATAAACATTGGAGTTAAGGTCTTCCTTTCCATTGCAATAAAGCTCTTCAGGTACTATAGCAGCCAACAGCCTCTGGTACAAGGAAATACCCTTGGGTTTACTTTTTCCAGAGACTCCATGTTCTGAGGTAAGATCGGAACTCTGTGTTTCATTTGTCTGTCCCCCGACTTCATTCAACCCAAAACCACTACTTAAACTGGAAGCATCAGTATCAAAAGTCACAGAGGCTGCTGCTGCCAGATTAGTCTCATGATTTATCTGTTAACAGAACGGATTAGTGTATATCAGAAAGTCATAAGTAGAGGGAAGTCTAATTAGCGATATCGAGCAACTATGGTATTATTTTACAGTATTGAACTGTCTGCATATTATCACACACTATTATTGATCAACTAAAATTCATGAGACCTGCTATGTTACTTTAGATATGTCGATCGCAAGTACACACTAATAAGCAATGCAAAACTGCAACAATATGGAGGAACCAACTCACATGTTCCACAAAATAAACTGCATGCTCTTGTATGCATGCTCATCACTCTAACACAAGAAAATGGAGCCATGTGATATATATATATATATAATGCTCATCAAGCTTTCAAAAGGTAATGGGAGAAAATCCAACTTCTAGCAAGACTCTTCACTTGGTCCCTCTCCCCTCGGGGAACAATTTCCAGAACTCTACAATGTTTCTACCAATCCTATTCGGTGATTTCAGACTTCAAATCTAACAAGGTTGGGACATCACATCCAGGAGGAACTGCAGTGATTGGTATCTTAAGAGGGTATGTCTCTCTTACAGCTGCTGAGCAACTCCTCCCTTCTCCAGTCTACACCGCACTGTCTCCTATGGAAAGGACAAGCCAACGGAACATTCCAGATCATGCTAATCGATCTTAGCAAGCCTAACTCTCCCACCCCCAGCTGGCTTTAGAGAAATCTGGAAGAATATAGCTTCTTACAAGGTTGTGCGCTTCACATGGTTAGTGACAACAGAGGCACGTATGACACGGCAAAATCTACAGAAGAGGGGTTTTCTATCTTGAAGTAGATGCCCTTTATGTGAGGAACAATCTGAAGATGTCAAACCACCTTTTCTTGCCTTACAGAATCACATACCAGATCCGGATCTTGATGTTTACCCTATTGAAATTAAAATGGTCTATGCCTTACACAACTTTGGAACTGCTCCAGTGCTGTTACAGGACGGGTCTGAAACAAGTGCATGAAATTCCAGTCCAGCGGGTATTTGGCGGGTCATTTGGAGCGTTGTTTCTGAAAGTGCAAAGCACAAAAAGAAAAAGAAACAAGGTCCTGGGACTTGAAGCGGAAAGCGAGAAGTGAGCGCATGCTTCGTTGAAGTGAGATTCAAGAACCGACCACATCTTGTTGAGATCACTTCGCGTATCATTACTTGAAGCACACACCTTCATCCAAGCAGCAATATCTCCTCATTTTGCATTGCTTCAGTGCTTTAAGCAAAAAGCAATGACTTTTAATTACACTGTTTGGAGGAATGGAAGATTAGAATTCTTTAGGGCACAAGGAAAATGTAATTAGTCTCGAACATAGATTTGTTGTTTTGCTCACTTTTTGGTGCAACATGACAGATGTAGATATGTAGATTGCCATGCTAGACTTACTAAGTTTGTAATCCAACTTATAATGCAACTAAACCCAGATGTAACTCCTCTTCTGCACTCTATTATTGTTGGAAATATCTAATACGTTCTTGAATAATTACTTATCAAAAATATAAGTATGCTCATCAAAATAATAGCTTTGCATCCTAGAAAAGGAAGAAAGGGAGCTTCCCTCGACCACTCATATCAATTAACTTACACTTGCCTATGGATTTTCCCAAGGCTGAGTCAACATCATTCAAAATTACAAATAGTTAAAGAAAACAAGTGCAGCAAAAGGACGAGGACCAGTTGTGAGTGGCTAGTGGTCTACACTCCCCCCCCCCCCCTTCCTTTCTCCCTTCCAGTTTTCCAACTTAAATATGAATATAAACTACAAGGGAAATCAATCCTTAGAAAGGCAAACATTGGATGATTTTTGGGTAACATATCCCATTTTTTCCTTTGTCTATTCACTGAGTTCCCCTTTTCAGTTTGCTGTTTCCAATATGTGCGATGTGGGGATGAAGCTCCAAAGCAGGAGCTAGCCTTCAAACAGAGGCGGAACTTCACTCTTTTTTTAGGAGAGCGAGGAGAGAGCTATAAAGAAAGAAAAGGAAGGTAATGCTGAATTTTCACCTTTCTTTTCTTTCTTTCTTTTTTTTCTTTTTTTTTTTTTTTGATAGTAGCAAGGTCACCTTTTTTTCCATTTTCCCTGGAGATGGGAAGATGCACGCCATATACAATCCATGAGTAAGATGCAAAACTGAAACAACAGTTAACCTTCCACCTGAGCCCCCTTTTATTATTCAACTTCTTATACTCCTATATTCGATGATTAAAGAATGTTCGAAGACCTGAACTTTGTTGCTCCTCCAATTTTATTTTGAGCATTAAAGGGTACACCAATTGGAAGATGATGTTCACAAATCCTTCCTTCTCAGCTCCTTTGAAACAGACTATACAATAGCTGTTTAATATGAATAGAGATAGTACTAAAAGGATAATCGTCACAAGATATGGCAACAAAGACAGCCACCACTGGACTCTATAATGAAAAGTAATACGGAGAGGGGGGAGAAAAAAGCATATATCTATAAGCAACTAACATGTATACATGATAACAATTACATAAAAGACTTCCAAAGTTCTTTGTTTCCTCCACAGAATGTTATGCATGGAAATAGTCATACCGACAATTTCCAGTTCCCATGGCAGCACCCCAAAAAAAGGAAGCTGATATCTATGTGTTATAAGCAATCGATACGGCAGGAGATCAATCTTGCCATTATCGTCACAATTATAACACCTAAATGAGTTGCTCAAATATCCATATTTAATACACAAGTCTAAAAAAGAAGACGAGTTGCTCATATGCTTATAAGTAGATACATAAGTCTAAAAAAGAAGACCTTCCACCTGTTGCCTCAGAAAGACTGTGTCCATTTCAGATATAAAACGAAAAAATGGCTCCATCTGCTTCCAGAATGAGCTCGAAAGGGCTTGAGCTGCAATAGAAATAGGATCATTAATAAGATTTTGTTTAATCAATAAATCAATAAATAAGTAAATAGCAACGCGTTCAGTTAGTGCCAAAAAGATAGATTTTTCCAAAGAAATCTAGAAAAAGCAGGTGACTGATAGTATACCAGTGTTAGTAACAGCACTTGCAGCAGCCAGTAGCTCTTCATGGCCATCATCTGAACCAACTAATGAGATGTAACAATAAAAATCAATAATTCAACACCTATAGTACTCAAGCCTACATTGCGGCTACAATACCTAGAAAATCCGCTGCAGCATCCATCGTTGCAAGCTTCTGTCGTTTATAAGCCTTACGATCAGAGAGCTTTCTTGTAGGTGGTCTGCCTCCTTTGCTGCACCAAATAGTTGCATAAAATCAGAAGTTATTCTGTTGCACCAAAATGTAGCAGAAAAAGCATACCAACTGTCAATTGGAAGGAGAGAATGTTCAACCTTTCTGGCTTATCCAGAGCATGTCTAGAGGTTCTAAGTTGTTTTGCAGTCCCAACATTGCCAAGCTTTTCAGCCATCAATGGCATTAGGGACCTAGTGGAGGTAAACCCCCTGCCACTCCGCCCTTGCCTGCGAATACCATCTCCAAAGTCTTGTCCACTAACCACCTTATTTTTCCTTGGCGGTAGCAGCAGTGTTGACATCTTTTGCACATTCCCAGCTTTTTCATCCACTTCGTCAGACCTCTTGCTCTTGTCTTTAGACTTGACTTCAGCAGCTCCTAATTCCTCAGTTTCTGATACAGCTGGAGAGAAGACATCACTTTTTAACTTTTGTTGAGGGGAAGAGCTAGACAAATGTCTCTCATTACGTAGAACATCGCTTGTGGTATCCAGGGTAGATATTTCGTCATTATTCGGAACAATGGGAAAATTGTTCCTTCTTGCGGGTCGAGATATCTTCTGGGGCCTTTGGCTGGCCCATTGAGCAACAGGTGGTGATGAGGACCTTGTAGAAGGGTTGCGCTTGCGATTACCTGCCCCAACAGCAGATGGAAGTTTGTTTGTACATTGAGAGATTTCCCAATCATTTGCAGCAGCTGCGCGGTGAACTGGAGGAGACAACTTTGGTGCAACGCCTGAACCTGATCGTGGAGCCCTAGTAGCAGGATTCAATTTCGTGCTCGATGTAGGGCTAGGGGATGTGAATTCTTCACGAGCAGCTGCTTTCATTGTACTGGATGAATAGAACAGATAAAACTGTGTAAGGAATGTAAAAATAGGAGGAAAAGAATACCTAGAGAAAGAGATATCTCGTAACAGTTTTAAAGCATAAGCTCGCAAAAGAAATTGCGAAGACCAGTCGACAAATTCAACCAAAATGAGTGAAAAAGGAAGTGCAGAATAAGGTCTCTCATACTTGCTGACTGCTTTGAGATTCACCCTTTCTTTCTCTGAGCCAAGAGGACGATCTCTCCTATCTAGGAGATGAAGATGGTTATCTTGGTCAATCTTAGACAGGGAAGAACGTACACCTAAGGTAACATGCTGTGTTGCACCATCAGCTTTTCCGACAGCACCAGGAGCAAGCCCATGTCTAATTGAACCAAAAGAAGATCAGTTCAAAATAACAAGAAGTGCTTCTGAATATAACAGAAAATTACAGTTTTACCACTTATGCCTACACAAGAATGATGTTGAACCTTCATGGGAAAAAAGATTTAAATACGCAGCAATTGAGTAATGCGTATCCATGAAGTCTGGTATTTGCTCTCATCAAATTATAGTTCTTCCTTTTTTGAAAAAGTTAGTTATAACTTTCCCTATTACATCTCCAATGACACATGGAAGAAGATACTTTCTTCTATAAACTCACCAAAACCCTGTTTGACCTAATTGACTACCTCCCAGTAAGAATGTAAGATAACCAATTTGACTTTCAAAAGAAGTATATTTCTCTTGGCCGTGAGGGCTAATACTATGATGGAAACTAAATAGCATGTCCAGTATTAAAAATTCACCATCTTATTTCTAGCACAAACGATTAACTGAAGGCTAAAGCTCAATCTCTTCAAATTCACATCAATCCCATATAGAATATGATGCAAGATGAAACACAATCATGCCAGAAATAGGAAGTTACTTGTCATGGCTTGTCAAAGGAAATTCTGAGGGTCAAATATGGTTATGCCACTACCATAAAATTTAGCAGTTCCATATATGGATTAATAAGTACTGAGGATCAAATATGGTTATGCCTCTATCATAAAATTTAGCTGTTCCATGTATGGGTTAATAAGTACTGTGCCATTTCTTTAGAGCACAAACTTCAAATAACTACCTAAAATGTCAGCAATTATGCCTGAAATGTCGATAATTAACACCCAAAAAAAATGTAAGTTCTCTATCTTTTGGTATACCTCTTGTATACAGGAGCTTTTGCAATTATTACTGAATATATTTCTTACTTGATCAAAAAAAAAGGATAAACTGAAATTTCAACACAAGGTAACAATTCAAGATGTCATGACAACAGATGCGTAAATCTGTAACAGGCATTGAGTAACACCCAGCTTTCCATGAGAGTCCTCATGCCAGCTTACTGGACACAAAAAGAAGTTCACTAACAAGTAACAACATTAGGGTATTAAAAAATTCTCTCCTATTTCTATAGCCGTCCTCACTTCTCTCTACTTCATATGGCCCCACAAGCACACCTTAAGACTTCTTAAGTGCCTAATTATAAAAGAGGAACAAAAAACGACTCAATAAAGCAACTGAAATAACCATAAGATATTATATCAAACAACCCCTACCTTTACCCCAAACACAAAAGATAAGAAGGGTAAGAAGCTTCAGTTTACCTATGACAAAAAGACTTCAAATTTTTACTTTACCGAAAGTGTCAGAGGACCACTACTTTTCTAGACTTACGCAGTTGGTACAATTTAGTTACAGTGACATTGTTGCTGAGAGAGAAAGCACTTCTCAACTAATCTCAGAAAGGTAGTCTACAAAAAAACAACAAATACTACTTTAAGGACGTGTATATGATCCTGCAGAAAAACATTTAGACGATATGACAGAAAAAACCTGAACACATGCGTCACTCGGATTTTAAATTAAACATTGACAGTTGAAGCACTACCTGAAGCCATGGCTATCAGTAAATCTTGATCGGCTGTCACTAGGAAGCCGCGGCTGCACTCCTTGCTTCGGTTCCCTGTGGCCATCAATAGGTTTTGTCGTTATGGAGCCAGTAGCATCTGGTTTTATTCCAGAACGCTTCTTTTTCATCCTCGACTTCTCCCAACCTTCTACAGCAATGGATGACGTACGATCTTCTCCCTGAATTGTGCTACCATTTGGAAGCCTCAGTATCTCCCTATCTCTATCCATGTTCCCAGCCGACCTTGTGGGAGTGTTTGCCCGTACATCAGGCTACAATCAAAACAAAAAATGCGGATGTCTAAGCTGGTTCCAAGCATACAGTCGGATGAAAGATATGAATTGAGGTGAGGAAGCACGCATTAGCATCAAGTAGAAGGAACGCGCAATATACCGTGTCTATTACAGGAAAAAGATATCTTTAGAGGATACTTCAAAAGCAAGTATCTGTCCAGTTGCTTATAAGTTTGAACAAAAAGGCAACTATTAAAAACACCTCCCGATAAACTCTACCTTGGCATCTCACTCCACAAACAAAGAAATGAAGTTTTAGCATAGGAAGAAAGACCCTATCTGAATGCTAATAATATCCAACTTTTTAATTTTTTTTTTTTTTTGAGACAAGTATCCAACTCCATTAGTTCATTTATTAATATTTTTTTAAGAATGGTAACAATAAGTTCAAAAAAAAATTATTTTTTTTGAGACAAGTATCCAACTCCATTAGTTCATTTATTAATATTAACCAGCATTTTAGCAAGAAATGGTAGATCCAATTTCAACGCCCAAAATTATCGAGCTTCATTAGGTAGTTACTGTGTTAACCCACATTTTAGCTGATCTTACCTAGCAATAAAGAGCAAAGAAAAGGAAGACTCTCTCCTAAATGAGACACTCCTCTAGCTTATTCAGCAATATTATTGCAGGAACAGGAGATACATAGAAGATTGCAAAGCGGAATCAATCAAAAGGCCAGCAATATAGACAATACCTCCGAAGAGTGAAGTTAAATCAAGGTATAAAAGATACAAATAAATTACAAAATAATGATACAAACCCTAACATCGGCCATAGAAGTTCGAGTGCGTTTGCTTGGAACAGCAGTTTTAACTCTTTCTTCAGACTTTTGTTGCTCCAACTCATAACTACTGGCAGTACAATGACTCTGCGTTCCAGTTTTACCAATGCTTGTCCCTGAAACTGACCGATCACTTGGGAATAATGTAACGTGTCGGTCATTTGATAGGGAATCAGACCGAGATCTCTTCCTTGATGGGATGCTTGGAAAGCATTTGTTGAGCACAGATAAAGATTCGGTGAATATCTTCACACGTTCCCTGATATTTCATGGATTTATATGAGCACAATATCTCTAGAAAAACTAGTTGACTAGGGAAAGCATATACAAAAAGAACACAGTATCCAAGCAACTACCTAGCTTTAGTGCAGCTTTCCCGAAGACCAGCCTTCAGCCGTCTGGCCTCCTCCGCAGAGGGAGAAGGGAACAGTTTGCCTTTAGAAGACACCAATGGAGAATCCTCCACTGGCGCACCTAAAGCTAAACTGGTGAGCCGCTTGAAATCAATATTCCGATTAAGTTTGTGGTCAGTAACCATAGCTTTTGGATCAAAACGTAAGCACTGGAAAAAGTTAACGGCATCTGTACGTGTTACTGTTAAAGTACTTCTCGTCATGTTTGGAAGAGAAGATAAGATTGGATTCTCCATGTTCTCACGGAAGCTACCCGACCTATCCAGTGAAGCAGGTGCGTAGGATCCACGCTGCCCAGAGGCATACAGTGGCCTATCTGGACTACTGGAAGATAGATCAAATTTACTAGATGCTGACATTGCATCAATTTTCTGACACTCTTTGTGTAACCCACCCAGTGAACACAGCTGTGCATGGCACTGCTCTTCAACAACAATGCATGAAACCCAGCTCAATGTCCTAATAAATGTGTTCTGAATGCAGTACTCCTGCAAGGATACCGTCATGAGAACATGAAACCCACAAGTCCAAGACTAACGAAAAGCTGAGTAACCTACTAGCGGTTCTAAGTCCGGAGCAATAAAGTAGTCTGTTGTGTGTGTTTACACGTGTATATATATAAGCTCAGCCAGAAAACCAAAATCTGCCGACAATAACAAACGCCATAAGGATACACATAAATGTCGAAACCACTAATTATAAACTCAATAAATGAATAACTCGACAAACTTGTTGTCAACGTGAAATTTTTTCATGCATTCCAAGAGCTGCTATACACGAAACTTTTATTCACTTTTTAAAGTACTCAGCCAACAAAAGCTGAATACTGCCAGCACGTGGACAAAACAAGCGGTGAGACTCATATCCGATTATTAAATAGTACTAATAAATGTTGAATCAGGGCAATGTTGTTGAACAAGGTCCACTGATACTTCTTCTGCTACATTTGCTATAATTCTTTTAATAGCTGCAGTGTTTCTTTTGTTGCACTTCCCAAGTTCAACCATAAGTAACATTCATCAATTGGCAGACAATTTTAAGAATCTTATCAAATTCAACCTTAAATCTACTTTCCATTTTGAAAATATGCTATTAATATCAAAATAAATAAAACAAAAACAGCTCAGCAAATAATAATTCTACCGTGATCAAATACTCAGATTTGACAGCCAAAATTCTGGACAAAACGCCAAAAAGATAAAAATTCCAAAAATATAAACAAAAACATAATTCGACAAATTTAACAAAAAAGCAACAAAAGTAAATATAATATACTTTACCTGGCAGCTTAAACTGTATAAATACACTAAAATCTCAAACAACGACGTGATCTGTACAGCCTTGGATACGAAAATTCTGAAACAAATAATTTTAAAAAAATTAAAGTAGCTCGGGGTTCAATTAGGGTTTTGACAAGTTCGATTTTGTAAAATAACATAATAATTAGCTCAAAAGGAAAGTAAAAATAGAAAAGGAATATCTTACACATTCAAAAACGAAATGAATATTCAGATATGAATTTGTGTATCATATATTCACATAATAATGCATGAAATAAATATAGAAAAAAAATTATTACATTAGCGGAAGGTCGAAAGAGTCGTTGATCGGTGAAAGGAGGTCGGTCAAGCAATAACGTGGATCCTTTTTTCGTTCTTTCGCCGGATTTTAGCCCGAATTTAATTTTCTTAAGCCCGAAACTGTCAAATGGACCAAATGGCTTTTGCACCTACATTTTGGGCCTCGAATTTTAAGCCACTAGCCCATTTTATTGAGGATCTTTTGCCAATACCCATCCACAGCAAACTATTTAGATGTCCTATCTATAAAGTTTTCTCCCTACCCATTTTTTTTTTTTGGGATTTTTACCTTCCTATACCATATATGAAATCTTATTACCCTCAATGTATAAGGTTTGTGTTAATTACATTTCAGCATACCAAATTACCATTTATATACCATAATTCAAATTAGGGATATAATTAAGGGTGCATTTATATTAGGCGCTAATTTAGGACCGTATCTTCCCACATTTACTTTTACCCGTCTCTCCACCAACCCCCCCCCCCCCCCTTTGGAGATGGACAGTAGCATCAATAAACTTCAGATTAGTTATCATTTACTTCCCCAAAAACCTTAACTTAGCGATCGTATCTTCAGATTAGTTCTTATTTACCAATTCTCTATTTACACGTACAAAACATCAATGTATCGTTATTTTCATTGACCTCTTATTTTTGTTTTTTTTTTTTTTTTTTTTTGGGCAGTGGCTGAAGGTTACTGGTTAACACAGTCGATTGAAACTCGAAGAAGAAGACATATTTTCAGAAATTGTAGAAGAAGAAGAAGAAGACATATTTCCATAAATTGTAGACTGTTTTTTGCAGAAGATTTTGTAGAAGCTTTAGTCGTTTTGGATTTGTGAAAACAGAAAACAATGCATCTACAATCAGAATACAAATAATCTACAATTTATCTACAAGATATCTACAAAATGGATACATTGAATTTTAATATCCCAATTCTCATTTCAATTGTAGCATAATTGGCATTTTCGACATAATTGTAGAAGATTTGTAGAAGTTGTAGTCTTCTCAATCTACAATTTATCTACAATTCTACAATTTGACTACAATTTATCTACAATTTCTGGAAATATACCTTCTTCTTCTTCTTCTTCGAGTTTCTATCTAAAATTCAGTCAAAACCAAGTCTAATCTTCACCAAAACCCCTCAAAATTGAGATATAAACTCCTAAACATATTCTGAATTATTTACAACAACACCCAATCCAAACAAATAATGATTTTTGAAAATCCAAATTTGAATTCAAAGCTTTCAAGCTTTTTAATGGCTATCAATGGTAGAAAATATATGGAAGAACAGATGAAGATGAAGATGAAGAACAGAAATCTCCTTTCCGTTTCAATATTCTTCTCCTAAATCTGTTCAGAATATTCACGCCAAATCTGTTCAGAATATTCTTCTCCTAAAATTTAGCTCGCATAAATAGGAAGATACAACTGCTATTAATTAGCTTTTAATGATTGGGTACAAAAACTGTAGAAATAATGTGGACTGGACGGGTAATTTAGGAATTATGCACATTTTTGGTAATAAGGTTTCATATATGGTATAGATAAGAAAAAATCCCTTTTTAAAAAAAAAATAAAGTCAAGGTAAGCTACTAAAATCAAGCCAATTCATGCCAAATCAAGCCAAGCCATCCAATTCAATTCAAACCAAGTCAAATCAATCTATGTTAGGTTGGGTAATTAATTTTAATAGGAATATATTGCAACTAGTTTCAAATGGATAGAGAAGGGTAATTAGTTTAAGCTCAATATTTTATTTCTAAAGAGAAAATTGCATGAAGTAATTGTCTTTAGTTATTTTTACTGCTTGTATTATTTGATTCGTTAACTCTGTCACTAATATTAGTGATTACTGTAATTGTGTTGGATATGAATATCTTCAAAAACAAAAACAAACAAAAAAGTTAAAAATGTGTTTTCAAAAATGATATTATTAAACACAATTTATGTTGTCTCGCCGTAGACATGCTGCATGTGCAACTCGTCTCAATGAGGATAAATTTTTTAAAAAGAACACATAAGTAATATATCAAAAAATTGTACTTGAGATAGTATAAAATAAAGTTTGAAGTAAAAGTATAAGTTATTGAAGACGATGATTATTAATCTTATTTAACTAACCCAAGAAAGAAACTTTGCTCATAGAAGTCTTTAATCATCTCAATTAATATGTTCGACTCAAAATTTATTTCAGTTTTATAACCTCATTACTTCATTTTCACAAATTATTTTACTTTCTTTTAGTTTTCGCAAGAATGTGTAAGAGTTATTTTAATTTTTTTTAAGAAAGCTAATGTTTAGGTTAATTGTGGAAAACACAAACATGATCCGTTAACTGGACTAGGACATCTATTGTCTTCCTGTCAAGCAAAATACAAATTATTTGTAACGACCCGATCGGCCGTTTTGAGCTTTGGCATTCTGTCCGGTGGTTTAACATCTTGAGTAGCTTCGTATTATGTATTATGACTTGCATGTATGTCGGTATCGATTTTCGAGCGATTCGAGGTTGATTTGGAAGAATGATTCTCAATTTGAAGCTTTAAGTTGGAAAAATTGACCAAGTTTGACTTTTGCGTATTTGATCTCGGATTGGAGTTTTGATGATTCTGTTAGGTGCGGATGGTGATTTTGGATTAAGGCGTATGCCCGAAATTGAATTCGGAGGTCCCTAAGTTGGTTTGGCTTGTTTTGTCGAAAGTTGGCAATTTGAAGGCTTAAAAATTTCTTAAGTTTGACCATGGTTTGACTTTATTTCTATCAAGTTCGAATTTCAATTTCGGGAATCGGAATAGGTCCGTTTTGTTCTTTGAAACTTTTCTGCAAAGTTTGGCGTCATTCTGAGTTGATTTGATAGGAATCAGACACGTGGTTGTATTTTTAGAAGTACTTGAGTTTCATTGTAATTTTCATGTGTTTTGGTGTTCGATTCGTAATTTCGGATGTTATTTTGGTGTTTTGATCGCGCGAGCTAGTTCACATGATATTTATGGACTTGTGTGAATATTTGGTGCAGAGCCCCGAGGGCTCGGGTGAGTTCCAGATACGTTTCGAAATGTTTGAGTGAGTTTCAGTTTTGCTGGTTTTTGGGCTGATGTATCACGTCTCGCATGTGCGAGATCTTGTCTGCATTTGCGAACCTCGCATTTGCGAGGTGGACCAGAGATCGGTTTTACGAACTTGGGATCGCATTTGCGATTTGGACTCCTGGCAGGGAAAGTCATATTTGCGATCAACTGATCGTTTTTGCGAAAGGGGAGGACTTCACAAATGCGAAGTATGTGTCGCATTCGCGACATCCACTGAGTTCAGCAGGCATCGCTTTTGCGATACATTCTTCACATTTGCGAACCCGGGGTCACATTTGCGACTCTTGCAACTGCACATAAGTGTTGAATTTCTGGACTTAGCTTCATTTATCACATTTTAGATTCCTAGACTCGGTAGGAGCCGATTTTGAGGAGAGATTTTCATACCAAATCATTGGGTAAATGATTTAAATCCAATTTCAATTATAATACATGATTGTTTATGAGATTTAACATCTAAAGAGATTTGAAGGGAATTTTTGGGGATTTTTACTATGTTTTTGAAAAATAAAAGTTTGAAATTTGAGAGTCGAATTGGACTCGGATTAAAAAACAAAATACATATATGAATTTGTTGGGTTATGGGTAGTCGAGATCTGCCCTTGAACTCGGGTTTTGACTAGGTGGGCCCGGGGTTGACTTTTCTTGACTATTGAAAATTTGTGTAAAGATCTTAACTTTATTAATCAAAATTGGTTTCTCTTGCATTATTTGATGATATTAAGTCGTTTTTGGTTATATTTGAGCCGTACGGAGGCGAATTTTAAAGGAAAAGCCATTTTTAGTGTTAGTTTAGCCTAGTTGAGGTAAGTATCTTGCCTAACTTTGGGTGGGAAAAACTATCCCATAGGATTTGGTTTAATTGCACTATTTGGATTATGTGGAAGACGTGTACATAATGTGACGATTGTGTAAATGGGTTATATGTGAAAATTGACCAGTTTAAACTCTTAGGTTACTTATATGCATTTAATTGAAGTTGTTATTACATGCTATATCTTTCATTGTCGAGTTTATTCTTATATGCATTTAATTGAAGTTATTATTACATGTTATATCTTCCATTGTCGAGTTTATTCTTATATGCATTCAATTGAAGTTGTTATCACATGGAATATCTTTCATTGTTGAATTTACTCTTATGCCTTTAATTGTAGTTATTATTACATGTTATCTCTTCCATTGTTGAGTTATTCTTATGCATAAATTCGTAGTTGTGATCGTACACTTGCACATGCATACACTGTAACATGTCATTTATACCAGTCCAGGAGTATGAATCTTGATGTTCATTGATTGTGTGCATGTATTCTTGTATATCTATCTTCTCTGTGTGGATTGGACTAGTAGCACGTGAGTTGTCCGTGCGGATATAAGATATATTACTAGTGGCATGTGAGTTGTCCGTGCGGATATGAGATATTGATGTTATTGGCGCACGGATCGTGCGTTTGTGAACGATAATGTGGGCATGAGATGCCATGTGTATATGATTCGTGATTTGGAACTCGTGATTTGTGATAGTTGAGGTGCGGTACCTCGGGGTGATCCTTGTTGTGATTCCTGTGGCGGAACAGTTTGATGATTAGAGTTGTCATTGTTTTCTTAATTGCTTTCATTTGTGTATTATCTGTGTTTTAATTATTTTGCTATTTGTCACATAATTACCTTTCGTTTCCATTTATTACTTTGTTTTTCTGGTTGTTAGCTTTATATTGATATTCTACGCAAGTTATTTGTCTAGTATGTGTCTTGACTTGAACCTCGTCACTACTCCATTGAGGTTAGCCTTGAATTTACTGAGTACTATTATGGTGTAGTCATACTACTCTTCTGCATATTTTTGTGCAGATCTAAGTATCTCGGAGCATGCCGGGCGTTAGTTAGTTGCTTGTGATTTCTTGCGGAGACTTCAAGGTATACCTACCATTACATTCGCAGGCCTCAGAGTCACCTTCTGTAGTCTTTAATTACTATTATTTATTTTCATTCCAGAACAGTAGTGTATTTAGGGATTTTAGTATACTCAATAGAGCTTATGGCTCTGTATTACTGGTTTTGGGGTTGTATGGCTAATGTCCGGTTCATCTACGTTAATTCAATTGTCAGTTAATATTTTGCAGTTAAGTTGGTTAATTCTATTAATTCTCAGCATATGTTAGGCTTACCTATTCCTAGGGACTAGGTGCCATCACGATCCTTAAGGTGGAATTTTGGGTCGTGACATTATTCTATTTTCTTGATCAATGATAAATAGTATGGGAATGGTTTCAAACAGATTAAACAAAAATAAATCTCTACTGCAAAAGAAGAACGCAACATTTTGATTAATTTAAGATTTTTTTTAATTTTCGAAAGAGCTTTTATGTCATGACGCAAAATCACACTCAGACGTAATGACACCTAACTCAACCCGCTAGGTAAGCCCAACAATATACTTCACTTCTATAAATAGGAACCAACAGAGATTACGAACAAAATGGCTAAAAGAGTTCAATTCAACCATCCCACGGACTAGTAGCACAAGTCACGGGCTACTAAGAACAAGAGTACAACAATAGATTGAGGAAAGATACATCATTTGTTTGAAATCTACATAAACAAAAATATAAATTCTAAACTACCACAAATAAATGGTAGCTTGTATCTGGAGAGCTGGTACATCTTAAGGGCCACGTACTCCTCGGCCGCTCATCGCCGAATATCTGCATGCAAGATGTAGAAGTGTAGTATGAATACAACCGAACCCATGTACTCGGTAAGTATTTTGACTAACCTCGGTGAAGTAGTGACGAGGTTTTTAAGTCAAAAGATACTCACTAATATAACATGTGCAGTTAAATCGAAGTAGGGAGAACAATCGAACATAACAATACAGATAGCAAGAATAAATACAAAAGATAGTGAATGATTAACTAAAAGGAATAATGATCAGGTTCCTCAATATCACAACCAACCCTTTTCTTAAAAGTTCAAGTCGAGAGGTTAAGGCAATAACCACTAACAACATAGTTAACCCACGAATTCACTATAAGAGGAATCTGTTCAAGACATCAAATCAAATGGCACGGCAACACCCTTCGTTCATTTATCTCGTCCTCACAAAGCGTATGCATGTATGTCAAATTAAACATCACGGCAACACCCTTCATCCATTTATCTCATCCTCACCAAGCATATGTATAATAGTACCAACCAGGTAGACGAAATACCAATAACAGTAATAATAAAGTAGAATGTACACAGATAACAGTAACAAATAAGGCAGAAGCATATGGATAAATTAACAGACAAGGTAAGAGGCACATAAATAACAATGGCAAATAAGGCAGGAGAACATAGATTTCAATAACTAACAAGGTAGAAGGTTTAAGAACAATTTCATTTACTTCTTGGAAAATGGAGCCATAGGTTGGATGATGATAGTTTAGATGTCAGACCCCACGGTGTAAGAGGTTAAGAATTTATCGCAACGGGTATAGAATTGATCATTATAATTTTGGACAGAAAAGAGCCTAAGGGAAAAATACCTTGTATTCAGATAAAATCAAACCCACTGAGCATCCCGATTTCTCGGTGAGGCAAATGGAGCAGGGATGTGACCGTAATGAATCGGAGTCAGAGTGAGGAGCCTCTCGTATCGGAGCTCGAACAAAACACCTGACATCGGGGTCATTGGGATCACATCCCCCGGGTCCGGTTCGAGCCTCAGGCGTAAATCTCGGCCCGTATCGGCAGAAAATCGGTGATTAGCGAAATGGAAGATTTTTACCTTTTTTAGGATTGTGCTTAGGGTAAAACTCCCCTACTATATAAAGGGGAGGCTCATTATTCATCAGAAACATTGTAACATGCATACAAAGGCAATTTGTTTCCATTCTCTCTGTTATTCAAATTTATTATTTTTGTTCAAAAGTTCTTCATAAATTCAAGCTCGGAATCGAAGGCAGGTTCCTCATTGAGCCATCAACCGAGCCCGGGATCACTCTTATTATTGGTTTGGCCATTTATTACGTCTTGCATTTGCTTAATCTAACGTCATCAATCACTTGTATTGAATTAATCCACATTTCCTTAAAACCGCGTATATATTTAATTCTTATCCGTTTTTTAGGGTAAATGGTTTGGCGCCCACCGTGGGGCTAGGGATATTTTACACTTGTTCTTTGAGATTTTGATTTCAGGTCAAATTAAAAATGTCAATCTCTCAATCTGCTCACTTGAACGTTGATATCGAGTCTGGCCACCATGGCGAGAACAACAATGTAGTGCGCAGCAACGAGGTGCCCCCTGTTGACCCCAACGGAGTTCCGGTCGTGGACCCCATCGATGCCAACTCACATGTGGCCATCGACGCAAACTTTCTTACCAACCCCGAAAATAGCATTCACGGAGGAGCCCGATCGATAGCTCGGGGTATGCACCACGGCAAAGTCGATGGGATTAATTTATGGGAAATCTTCGAAATGTCACAGGCTCAACAAGCGGCGATAGCCCAGTTGCAGAATTAAAGTCGCGCCCCCAGTAGAGTTGATCTCGAACCATCCTGGGAAAACACCCGAAGAAATGAACCAACCACAGAAAGGACGAGTGAAGTAGAACCCACGACCAACCCCGAAATAATAAAGATGCTTGAGGAACTAACAAAGCGGGTGGAATCGGGGGAAAAGAAGATCGAAGCCAACGATAAAAAAGTGGAGACCTATAACTCCACGGTTGATCAAGTCCTAGGAGCACCCCCGATATTGAAAGGCCTGGATTCCAAGAAATTTGTCCATAAACCTTTCCTTCGAGCACAGTACTGAAACCAATCCTGAAGAAGGTCCGTACGCTCGAAATTCCAAAGTATAACGGGACCATGAATCCAAATGAACACGTGACCTCCTACACGTGTGCCATCAAGGGAGATGACTTAGAGGATGATGAAATCGAGTCAGTTCTACTGAAAAAGTTCGAAGAAACCCTTTCCAAAGGAGCAATGATATGGTATCACAACCTACCCCTAATTCCATTGATTCGTTTGCTATGATTGCGATGCCTTCGTAAAAGCTCATGTCGGGGCCATCAAGGTCGAGACCAGAAAATTGGACCTCTTTAAAGTGAAACAGAGAGACAATGAAATGCCTAGGGAATTC